AGTTCCATATTTTACGGGTAGGTACTTGGGACCATCATTATTATCTCACAGTGACACACTTGTGACACACTGATACAGCGTCAGTGTTTATGTTGAAGTCATCTACTTACAATATACGTGAATTTTTAAACCTGCCACATTCTTTTATGGATCTGAGGCAAATAAGGGATGGATTGTCTTTCCAGCAGGTACAATTCAAGCCTTCCAAGAACCGTTGATCAAAACAGCATGTTTATTTCTCTTTCTCTGCTTTCCAATTTTCTTTTGTTTTTACATTTTAGTTTTATGAACAGGTTTATTCCCATTACCATGTTAATAGCCAATCTCTCTCGTCTGTTGAGGTGTTTAATTTTGCTCACCTGCAGGCAATTGCATATAAAAGGGGATGAGCATCTCAATTCTGCAATCATGAAACTCCACGCATCCGTTCCCCCAGTGTACACCGGATGAGCCCTCAATCCATGTGTGCAGACTGCCCCTCTACTAGACATGTTGCCAAATGGAGTTTGCTCCAATTTGCTTAATCACTCGGCTGTAATTGAATCCTGATGGGAAGCTGGGTTTCCATCCAAAATTATACCCCTTCTCTTGCTGAGAAGGTGGTAAAGTAGCCGTTTCTTCTCCCCAGGAGTGCCAGAACAGTTTGCAGGTGGTTTCATCCTTCCATCGTCCATGATGCTTTTCAGACTTGGAGGAATCATGACTTTGCGACTGTAGTTGCCATTGCCCAGGGATATGTCTGTTGCTGGCTCTCTGCACCCCTGTAAGCTTTATAATAAAGCATGATGATCCACCCTTCCCTTCCTTTTCCCTATGCTACCTTTCTAAGAGCTCCCTAAAAAAATGTTTGGCTAGACTATCAATGTACAAATTCTACTTCCACCTGAGTAGGCTATAACTAATATGGAGACACCCAGGTGAATATGTCTCCAAATCTGACCACCTGCAGCAGTTTTAGCTAGTGCAGCGTGGGTCCTAAGCTAACAGCGTCAGCATCACCTGGGAACCTGTTTGAACCAAATTCACAAGCTTTATGCTAACTGACTGAGTAAGAATCTCAAGAAGTGGGGGTCCGGAAATGTGCTTCACAAGCTCTTCTGTAAGTGTGAATTCAGACTTTTTTTGTTTCATGGTTTGTTTTTATTGTGGAGTGTAAGAGTTATTTGTACATTCTGGATACATTCTTTTATCAAACATATACTGTTAACAAAATCTCTGGCTTGTGCTTTCATTTTCTCAATGCTGTTTTTCACGGAACAAAAGGTTTAAATTTTCAAAAAATTCAATTTACCGTTTTTTTCTTTATAAATTGTGCTTTGATATCATATTCACAAACTCATTGCCAAACCGAAAGTCACATTGATTTTCCCTTTGTTTTATTCTAAAAGTTTTCTAGCTTTATATTTAACTCTTGGGTCTCTTATCCATTTAGGTTTGATTTCTGTATAAGATATAAGGCAAGTCTTATTCTTTCTGCTAAGAAAATCCAATTATTTCAGCATCATTTGTTGAAAAGACTGTCCTTTTTCCTTTGATTGCCTTTGCACGTTACCCAACAATCAGTTGACTATATTTGTGTTGGTATACTTCTGAGCCTCTATTTTCTTCTATTGATTCAACTATCTATAATTTTTACCAATGTTACACTGCTTGATTCCTGCAGCTTGAAAGTAAGTCTTAAACTTAGGTGGTGTGATTCTCCAATTTTGTTGTTTTTCAGAATTGTTTTGGCTTTTCTATTCCTTTACCTTTCCATATAAATGTTAAATTAGATGTTGAAATCTATAAAAATAAAAGAAAAAAATTTGCTGAGAGTTTGATATAGATAGCATTAAATCTATGGATAGACTTGAGAAGAATTTATTCACATTTGTTAAAAGCCTTTTAGCCATGATTTACACAGTTTTCAGGATACAGACCTTGCACGTATTTATTACCTAAGCAAGACTGTTTTTTTCGGTGATACTATTAAATGGCATTGTGTTCCAATGTAAAATTCCAATAGTTCCTTGCTCATATATGATTGACTATTGTATTTTGAGTTCACATCCTGCAACCTTGTTGCAGTTATTCTAGGAGAATAAGTGGCACTTAACAATAATAAGGCATTTATTCTAGGAGATTTTTTGATAGTTTTTATTTCTTGGGGGAGGGGGTAGATTTCTATGTCCTATGTACATAGAACTGATTTTACTTTTTCCTTTGAAACATATATAGAGTTTTTTCTTCCCCCCTCTCCCCACCCCATACCCCATTTTGGCAAGGGCTTCTGGTACAATATTGAACAGGATAGGGCAGTTTGCCTTGTGGTCTCTTACCATTAAATGTGACACTAGCTGTAGGCTTTTTGTAGTTACCTATTAGGCTAAAAAAATTACCTTCTAATTCTAGTTTACAGAGTTTATGAGAGAAAGAAGAGAGAGAGAGAGTTTTCTTAAATACTTTATATGTATGTATTAAGGTGCTCATGTTTTTTCTTATTTAGTCTGACAGTGTATAAATAATAATGATTTATTTTTCAAATAATAAATTAGCCTTTTGTTCTTTGACTAAAATCCACTCAATTGTGATGTATTTTTTAAAAAATATATTGCTAGATTTGTTCTGTTAACATATTTTTAAGAATATGTGCAAATATGTTCCAAGTAATATTGTCTTTTTTAAATTTTTGTTTGATAGTATCTTTTCCTGGTTTAGATATTAGGTAATGTTGACCTCATAAAATCAGTTATATACTCTCTTCTTCCATTTTCTGAAAGAGATTTCTGAATGGGATTATGTTTTAATCACTTACAGAATTCATCAGTGAAACCATCTGAGCCTGAATCTTTATTTTCTGAAAGATTTTTAAACTATGAAATTCACATTTTTAATGTATATAGCACTATTCAGATTATGCCTTCAGTTTTGGTACTTTGCATCTTTCAAGGAATTCTTTCATATCATTTACATAGCTGAACATACTGATACAGGTTATTCCTAATATCCTCATATTGTGTTTTGATATCCATGAGATCATCAGGGTTACCCTTCTTTCATTCCTAAATAGGGTTATAGGGTCATTTGTTAGTTCTCCCTTTGTGTCTCAGTCCGCATTTCATATTTACATTTTCAAAAAACAGAAGTTTTCGTTGTTGTTGTTTGTCTTTTTCTTTTCTTTCTTTCTTTCTTTTTTTTTTTTTTTTTTTAGAGCTGGGATCTTGCCATGTTGCCCAGACTGGGATCTTGCCATGTTGCCCAGACTCTTGGGTTTAAGTGATCCTGCCACCTCACTCTCTTGAATAGTGGAACTGTAGGTTTTCATAACTATGCTATGCTAAAATGCAGCTTTGACTTTGTTTTTCTCTATTTCTGTTTTCAGACTCATTGATTTTTTGCTTTACCTTTTATTATGTCCTTTCTGCTTTTATTTTTTTGGTATTTACTCAGTTATTTTCTCTTACTTAAAGTGAAAGTTTAGGTTGCTGATTTTAGATGTTTCTTCTTTTCTTTGTGTTAGCTGTAAGTTACAGATTTTGATATATTGTACTTTCATTTATATTTAGCTCAAAATATTTTTAAATTTACTTTGACACTTCCTCTTTGACCTATGGGTAATTTACCTTGACACTTCCTCTTTGACCTATGGTAGTGTATTGTTTAATTTCCTAGCATTTGGAGATTTTCCTGTTGTTTTTATGTTATTGATTTCTACCCTGATTCTGTTATAGTCTGAGAAAATACATTATTTTTATGGTTAAAAATTGTTATTTGTATGGGTCAAAATATGGTCTGCCTTAATAAATGTTGAATTTGTTCTTGAAAAGAATATGTGCTCTTCTGTTGTGTGGGTTGTCAATTAGGTCGAGATGATTGATAGTGTTGTTTGATGTCTATATTTTAAAGCAGGACACACAGGTGATTTCATGCATGCTGTAAGTTGAGAGCCACTTAGAGTGAGCTAACACTGGTTGGTATTCTAGTGTAATGGAAGCTCAATTTTATATTCGATTTTATATTTGTCTATGTTTGTGGAAGCCTTGAAGCTCCCACCCAGTTGTCCATGTTCTGAGTGTGAGCTTGTTGATTACAAATATCTCCCAAACACATTACAGGTTTTTTTTACCTGTCTCTGCCCCTGGGTCTTGTGCTCCTTGGATGGTTGTTGGGATTTTTCTACAAATACTTCCTCTACCCTTTTCATCAACACTGGCTTTTCTCTAAGTGTGTTTTATAAAATAATACTAAGCATGAAGCGGGGAAGTAAGATGTATATACAATACTTGGTAAACTGATGTGTATTTCTCCATCTTGAAATTCATAAAGTCAATTAATATTATAATAGCTCTGACAAGTTTGGAATTAACACATTTCTGTTCCTCCCTTTCCCTAACATAAAATCGGCTAAATACTTCATAAAATTTTTAAGAAGACTAAATGAGATGACATCTGTAAAACACTTAATGTTGACTTGGGCACATAGTATGTTGTCAATAAGAGTTTGTTATTATGTTCTTGGTTTTTGTTTTATTCCATTTATTCCACTGGAGTTGATCTTTAAAAATAGAGATGGGTATAAAGATAACAAATATTTCTGGCAATGCAAACACCACAAAAGTCACAGAGATAAACAGAGATACTTGTTCTAGTTTCTTTATTGTAGTTTATTTTTGTAGTGTTAATAAAGGCTATTGTTTTCATTAAAAAAAATCTTAAACCCACTCACTTTTTTTTCCTACCTAAACCTGCCTCTGAATTCATACCATTGGTATTGCTGGGAATAATTAGACATTTGTAAGTGTTCTCTGAAGAGAATGATGTGCAATGCCATGGAATGTGCATTTAGTATGTTGTTCATAATTGGGACTCAGCATGATGTCTTATGCCTTCCTCACTCAGCAACAGCATCAGGGCAGTACTGTGCATCTAGAATTCAAAATCTCTTCCTCATCTACCTTCCTTAGCTCCTTTGACATCTCTGTGGGAACATTATTGACACTATGTTTTCTTTTCTTAAACAGGTGGACTCTGCATTGCCCAGTCCGTGAGAATCCCCCAAGAACGCAAAGACAGGACCATTGACTTTGATAGAATTATCAAACAGCTCCTGGACACCCCCAACTCCAGGGCCGTCGTGATTTTTGCCAACGACGAGGATATAAAGTAAGAATAACTAGTGAAATTTGTTAATATGCATGTTGCAACTTTAGGAGAGAGAAAGATTAGGCTGCTGGCTGGGAAGGGAAAAGATAGTGTAAGATCAAAGCTGTAATTACATAGTGGCAAAGTGTGTGATTGCCCTCTACCCCAACACATATAGCCATAGTCAACCATGTAAGTAGTAGTATGTTATGGTCATTTATTTTCCCTCTGTTAGCAAAATAAATGTATTTAATTATTTGTAAAAAAAACAGGAAAAAAAAAACAAAACCTCTAGAACTTTTAAAGGGTGCTTTTATTTAAATCGTTTTCAAATATATTAATAACACACTTTTATCCAGAGGATGGTTCTCTTAATATAAAAGAAAAATGTCTTACAATTCTGGTTTTATTGCTAGTGCCTTAATTTCAGTATGCTCAAATCAAAAACTTGTCATACCTCTACATTCTCCAATCCACTTTTTATTTTTTATTTTCAGAACTTGATCATTCTTGGGCTAAAAAATCTGCTTGTTATCTTGACTTTCCTTTTTTTTTCTGGTTCCTTGCATTGTTGGTGAAGCCACACAGAAGCAAGCTTTGACATGTTTCCACAATGTAAATGTCTCCTGCTTTATTTTCTGACCACTACCAACCTGGTCCAGAGTCCTTATTTTTAGAATTTTTAGGATATTTATTTTTATATATTTTTTTATTTTTAGAATAAACAGTAAATAAACGTGATTACAAAATTTAAAATAAACATATAATCTCCATCTTGTCCCATAGCTAAGTTCTCTGAGGTACAATAACCAATTAAAAGTTTCTTGTGTATCCTTGTAGAGGTGTTCCATATATATGCTAAAGGGATGTGTGGCTTGTATTTACACAAATAGTAGTAGAATATTATGTGTATTCCTGTTCGGCGCTTTGCTTATCATTTCATATGACAACCACTGAGTATCACTACCTATATATCTACTCAGTCTTTTCAATAGACAGGCAGAATTTCATTTTACATAAGTACTATAATTTATCTAACTGCTCACTTATTAATTGACATTTAATTTGGATTCCAGACTATTGAAATTATAAATAATGCTGCAATTTCCTTTTGCATAAATATGTATATAAATATAAATAGAAAATGTTAACCTACAATGTATTATACAATACATAAATTTGTAATAATGTGATATAAACATATAGCATGCAAATATACTATATATCATATTTATAAAATTTCTATTTAAAAATTCCTAGACAAAGATATGTCTCTTCTTAAAAATATATAAATATTGTCTCCCAGAGAAGTCATGCCAATTTACACTTCCATTGGTGCAAAAGAGCTATTTGTGTGTGTTTTAAATCTTTGTCTATCTTATAGTTCAAAATAATATATCATTGACTTTGAAGGTGAATATCTTTTATCAAGGGTAAAGTTTAATGACTTGAGCCCTTAAATTACTGCTTGGATTTTTGCAGTGTCTTTACCACCAGTGTCTCAAACCTGTCTCTCACCCTGCTTTGTGTATATGAGACACTGCCCCTGAATCCATTCATCTCCCAGTATAAAATTGATCACTGGTGTGGTGGCAGGGCTGTTAAATGGAAAGAGTTTTGAATTTGTAACTGAGGGTTATTTGCTACTTAGATAATGGGCACTGTCTGACCTTGGGCAAGTTCCTCCCACTGCCTTCCGGGTTCTTTGGCCCTCAAGTCTCTACCAATAAAATGACCACCCTTTCGAGTTCATTTTCTGGTGATCTGGCTGTGTTACTTTCTAGTCGTATTCTATTCCAAATTCCCTCACATTTTTGCCTACTGCAAACACAGTGCTGTGACATAATCTCCCTCTCAGGTCTGCATGCATTCTTTTCTCCTTCCCTGGCCCACTTTTCCTTTCCTGCTTCATCACCTCAACGCTATCTCTAGTGCCAACCCGAGGGAAGATTTTTCTAATCAACATCACTTTGGAAAATTCTTCATCCTCAGTTTCATTGTTTATGTCAACAGTGTTGTTTTTATTGTTGGATTGTTTAATTCATGGATGCATTCTTCACTAGTCTGTAAACATTAGGGCAGAAATGAAACCGCTTTCAACTTGCTTCTATATTCTCAATAACTATCCCAGTGCTCAGGACATAGTAGAAGCTCAATAAATGGTGTTGAATAAGTGAATGAAATTCCTAACCTAATGCTTCATATTTAATAATAAGCTTCTTTTTCTGAACTTCATAGTGATTTAACATGTGGTCTCATTTTTACAATTTACATTCATGCAATTCTCCATCCAAAATGCATAACTCTGACCTTCCGATTTGTTCTGATTACTTCTCCATCATGGTCTTTGCTCATAATGTTTTTTTCTCTCCGTATCTATCTATCTAAGTTATGTCTTTTCTTCAAGGTCTATTTCAAGCATTCCCTTCTCCAGTTGTGAAGAACTGATTCTGATTGTGATCATCCCTTAAATGTATCATTTCTATCCTTACAAAATTCTCTTAGGGCATTTTCCCTCACTTTGTATTTTAGGTAACTGTAGATTTTTGTTTTTTCATTTTACTCTTTCTGTTCCAGTACTTTAAAAAAAATTCTGCTAATACCATTCTTTTTCATCTCATTAGTGTTTTTAATGCCTATTTTACACTTTTTCTAAATATATAATGCATTAGTAAGATTTGGCTTCATGTTTATTTTTAAATAGGTTGCAAAAGACACCTAAAAGATCTACTGCAAATAGTTCTGGTGACTAATTGTTTATAATACTCTCGACTTGCAGGTAGTGTGAGTTTTTCATGTTTGGATGTAAAATCTGTATTGCCCTTTTAATAATTATGCCCATTAATTTTGCATTAGGCTTGTTTGTGTGTTAAATATTATTTTATATTGTCATTCATAAGAGTGATGACAATTATTATTCTTGAGCACAGTACTAAAAGCCAACAGCATATAAAAATTTCTTCTAAAACATGATCTTATACACACTAATGTCTGAAGTATACTGATAACCTGTAATGTTACGTTATTTCTTTTTTTGGAAGATTTACATTGTAGATGGATAACCTGTAATGTTAAACGTTATTTCTTTTTTTGGAAGATTTGCATTGTAGATGGGAAAATTTGAGGTTTCTTGGAACATTAACTTCAAATACTTTGACAGAGGATAGCAGTGAGAAGATATTAATATCAACATTTTAAAGCTAAGTGCGAAATCAGTCATGGGTATTGATAATTTGGATTTTAAACAAGAGTGGATTCTTTTTCTGAAATAATTTATTCTGATTATAAAAGAAACACATACTCATTGTAAATCCACTGGGAAAGAAAGATTTTTTTAATTGTTTTTTAAATAAAAGGAATCCTTACATTTTACTTTGCCCACGATTTGCTAAAAAAGTTAAAGGTTAAACAGAGAATAATCACAAACAATAATTTTAAATAATCTTCTATAGAACCTGCAATTCCAACACTCAGAGATAACTGCTAATAAAATTCTGGTTTAATGTTTGCAATAATTTTTTTATACATACCCAAGTTTTCTCCAACAGAATAAAGATGACATAGAACTTTTTGTCATTTTTGCAATTCATACCATAGATTAATCATTTCATATCACAAGTATTTTTAAATGCTTTAATTATATTTATTCTTATAGCCCCTAAATTTTACATAAATATATTAAACTGAACATACTTCTCTGTTAATATCAATTTTGACTGTCATTTTCTGTTTTACTTGGCTTATCCCTACCTTTTTTATTCTCTTCCAACTTCATCAGCACCTCCCCAAACTTGTCAATAAAAATTGTATGCCGTTCTATATTTTCTGTGATTTGATATGATTCTCTGCTTTTAACTATGCATATATGCACATATGCAGGCAATTTTTGGTCAGCTTTTGTTCTATGAGAATTAAATAATCTTTTATCATGTATTTAATTTTAATTTTCTTTTTTAACACCTAGTATCTAGTTTGATACTTTGTGGAAATCAAACTAAGTATATTTTTAATTGCTCTAGAATTCATCCTTTCGGTGTATTGTCATTTTTCAAACCGGTTTCCCATTGTTCTGTATTTATGTTAACTGCAGTAATAAACAAACATTTTGACAGCATCTTTGATGATTTTTTGATACATTATCAAAGTGATATGTCTAGGCCAAAGTATAAATATTTGATTGTTCAGTTTTTATGAAAATAATACATAAATGACTAAAGCCCTTTTGAAGAAAAACATTAGTCTCCTGTTCCATCTCACCATACTTTCTGGTTCTGTTCTCTTGGCAGTTACTTTAACCCTTTACACTATTTCTTCAGTGTTATCGGTATAATGTACACATTTTACAACTTTGGTACTATTTTAAATATTATTCAATTCTTATGTTAAATAGAACTTTTTTCTATCTCCCCTATAATCATAATATTCTGTCAGGTTTTAATTTAACAAAAATCAGTGTTTTACATTATTGTGATTATGTAAGTATCATGCACCATAGCATCGAGTATTTTTTTCCTATGGTATTTTTTAGGGGTGGAATTTTGGTATTTTTTGTTTGGAGTTAATATGACAGTCTTCATACTTTCATCATTATCTTAATATCTTTTCTATTGTTGTTATAGGCCTTTCATTTTCTCCATTTGTTCATGTATAAGATTATCTGAGTTGCCTTATTTTTCATGGATACTTCTTTCCTGAAATCTCCATCATTCTGTGTAATCTGGATCATTTGAAGAGTTTATTCATCTTACTTTCTCTTTTGTTTCATCAATTCCTTTTTTTTCTGGATGCTAACTGATTTTTATTCTTGGTTTATTTCCTCATTTTGCTGGTGCATATCCTGTAGCTTTTTTAAAAAAGATAAATTAAGGGAAAACATTTTTGTGTGTTGTACATCTAAACATGTTCTCATTCTGCCTTTACCGTTAATTAGTACTTATGTGGTAATGTGTGACCTCGTATTTATTTTTATTAATAAATACATCATAACTGGTAAAGAAAAGATTTACAACAAATAGCTTTGGTGAGTAATGAGTTGCCGAACTCTTAACTTACAGGGAACTTAGGGTTCTAATTTCATCTAATTGTGGATGGAAAAATCTAAAAGAGTTACTAAAAAATATGCAAATTCTACTTGTACTGGGATTCTTTGTGTGTTAATATTAAAATTCTAGATTAAAGTCTTTTTGTCAGAATTTTGAAGCCTTTGCTCCATCATCCATAATCTTTTCTTTTGTCTCTTGAGAGGTTAACAATATAATTTCTTACTTTTCTGTGTGTCTTTTAATTTTCTCTCCAAGAGCATTTAGAACATTCTGCTCACAAAATGCTGGGAACCTGGGGTATGTCACCCCAGGCAGAAAACAATTATTATATCTTGTGGTCTTACCCACCAAAGGGGCTTCAGTTGTAGTTGTAGCTTTTTCTATTCTACAAATGCAGTTACATCTCATAAATCCTCTGTTTCAAAAATACTATTGCACTAACTTTTCCATTAATAACTAGTTTCCTTTTTTCTTTTATTTGCACTCCTTGTCATGATTATGTACATAAAATACTTTCATTCATCCACAAGTTGTAAATTTTTCATATTTAACAGAGTTTACTGTAATAAATAATTAACATAGTTAATTCATAATTGTATTGCTTTTCAGAGATAATATATACCACCAGCAGTGAATGAGAGTGCTCATTTCTCTCAGCCCCAAGCCAAAACTCATAAAACAAACATTTTGGCTAATATGAGAAATGAATTTGGTACCTTGGTCTAATTTGCATTTCCATCTTTTCTAACATATGTAAATATGTATCTTCACCTCATTGGACACTTGTATTTCTCCTTTTATCTTTCACGTTTACTATTACTTGCTCTTGTTTCTCAAGATGCTCTATCTTTTTGTTGTTGTTGTTTACAAAATATCTTTATATATTAGGGATAGAAATTCTTTATCATGTTTTTTGCAGTTACTTACTTTCTGAGAAAGAATAGTACCTTTTCTTTTGCTGACTCTTAATATGCACAGGTTCAGCTGATGTTCTTTATAATTAACATAACTTTCCATATTTCTTTCCACAGGCAGATCCTTGCAGCAGCCAAAAGAGCTGACCAAGTTGGCCATTTTCTTTGGGTGGGATCAGACAGCTGGGGATCCAAAATAAACCCACTGCACCAGCATGAAGATATCGCAGAAGGGGCCATCACCATTCAGCCCAAGCGAGCCACGGTGGAAGGTAGGGGTTTCTTCAGCAGTAGGTTTGCTGAGAGGGGTTCTGGTGCCCTGATGAATGGCCAAGCATGTGACTTTTTGGGGGTTTACCATTTTTACCAAACTCATGCCAGGTTGATTCAAACTTGTAGCCATGAAATGCAAATGAGGCCACACGCCTGCTCTGTTCTTTTAGCTGAAATCCTCCTTTGAAGAGATTATATTATTCTCATAATATCACTATTAGCAATTATTCTTTTCCATTCATGCCACAGAAGCTTTCTGAGAGGAGAGCATTATCGTTAATAAGTAAAATAATAACACATCCAAGTGTGTATAAATGATCTACATTTTCCAAGAGAATACTTTCCCTTTGTAATGCATCCATTATTTTTTTAGCAGAACTGTAAGAATCCTTTCCCCTATTGCCACTCAAGGTCCCTTCCAGCTCAGGGAGGCTGTAACACAGCACACCACCTCTCTCAGGCACCAGTGTCCCCTCACCTTCCCAGAGAGTTTTCACTCTCTCCTTCTCTTACCTTTCTAAATTTATGCCTCTCTCTTTGCCTTACTTGCTACTACAAAGATATTTTAAGAGGTAGACGTGGGAAAAAATATCTGTTGCCACACTGTAATCTAACAAAAGTTGCTGATTATAATTTACGTTATTCTCTAATTCGGAAAGAAAAGTTATTTCTAAAAGAAGACACTGAGTAAAGAAAAAGGAACTCCTCTGCTGATAGCCTGCTTTGTGTTCCTTTTCTGATGGGCCTTGTCTCTAAAGATTCTCTAAAACACGCTTTGCATGTTAAAAAGACCTCTATCCTTTCACTCAAAAAGGGATCAAATATTTGCATTTTCTATTTTTTCTCCACTCAAATCTAATTAATCATTCTCCCCAGAAGGCTGCATGGTCTGTGTAGGCTTTTTAGACAAATCAGGTTGTAGTTCTGTCACTGTTTCCTTTCTGTTATCTGGAGGGGATAAAGATCCCATGAGTCACCCATGTTTCCATTGGGAGGTTTTGAATTAACTTAATTCCCCAATATAGATCCAGAAAAGATTGCCTGTCTTACAATCCAGACCAATGTATTTCCAGGCGGGTTGCAAGAATGAAGGACAGTATTTTCACTATCTCCATTCCTTGCACTTAAAAAGCTGTGTATCTACAGTGTGCCTTGCTCCATGCTAAGAGTCGGGAAAACAAAAGATGAGGACTCAAAATTCTCACCCTCAAAGCATATAGAACTGAGTGAAGGTGTCAGAGAACAACTAATGACTACATGGGAAACATAGTAAGTGTAGTTCAGAGAGCACAAAGAGAGAGTTACCAAGGAAGTTTTCTTAGGGTGGTGATGTTGTGGTTGGGGAAGATATCCTTGGATGCAAGAAGTGATAACTGAGAAGGAAGTTCCCTGAGAGATGAAGAGACATGAAGGAACAGGACACATTGGGGCAAATATAAATAATTCTTTCTGTAACACAGTCCTGCACTCCTGTCTTCTTGAAATCCTTCCAGTTCTTTAAGAATATTCGTTACTTACAAGACACTGGGGAGACCCTTTTGTCTTCTAGAGTATTAATTACTGTTTGGCTGATTGACTTCAATTTATTTTGGGGGTTTCATCTTAGGTGTTAATTTTGCATGGGAGCCATCTGTGGCCATCTCACCCCAACCAAGTCTGTGTTAGGAGCCCCTTCCATTCCTTCTATGTCATCCCACACATACCGCCTACTGTTGAGACTACCTCATTACTTGTCTCTGTCTAGAAATATCTCTATTATGCACCATCGTACCCCCGGAACATGGTTCTTTGCTGAAAATTGTAGATGCTCAAACACATTCTTCAGTGATTATGTGTCCAGAGGGATGGAGGAATCACAGATCATATAAAGACCTGGCACTAAATACATTTGAAAGTGGGCCAGGAGTTGCATTGCAAAGGGTCTCGAAAGTTATACTAAGGAGTTCGTACTTCATGCTGAAAATCTGAAGAGTATCTGAGTGTGTGAGATGTGATGGGAGGATGTCAGAAGGATTAGAAACTCAGTTGACTCTAAGGAAGGGTGAAGGGCAAGAGTTGGGTGAGATTCAAGGCAAAGTAAGAACTTTTAGGGCTTCAACTGAGGTCCTCTCTTCCTAGACTACAGATGCCATGTAGACACAATGCACATATTCCATGCTCATTAATCCCTGATGCCTGATATTTTAGGGAACTCACTGGGTTATCTCAAAGGTTTCCTAAATTATTGAGAGAAAATACTCTTTCATGTAGATACAGAGATATACAAATTTACAAAATCAAAGAACAGCATCGTGAACTAGCAAAATAAAAATTATGATTCCAAACAACGAAATTGGAGAGAAACGTTATTAAAAAAAAAAACAAGACTAGAATGTGATGGAATAGAAACAGTTCATAAGGAATTTTCTAATCTCACCCAGAGAAGAGTGAAGATTTTTTTGTGGCCATGTAAAAAAATGCTGTGGCTTCCAACTAGCCATATTGACTAGGTGCATGCATTATCCGCAAAGAACAACCAAGCTTTGTTCACTTTCGTAGCAAACAGAACATAAGTGGCTATGCATTTATAGTGTCACTTCTATGAAAGTTAAAAAAAAATGCATTCAGTTGTGCCAAAGCTTCTGAACAAAATTATGAAATATCCAAAATAAATCTATAAATGGAGCATAGCCTATGTGGGCAAGTAAGTTTTCCTATCCTGCCCTATGGTCATTTGCTTGCTTTCTTGTCTGTTTCTTTGTGTGTTTTTTTTTTTTTCTTTCCTGTTTTGCAGATGTTTCATACTGAATTATGCTAGGCTAGAATATTTTTCAAATATTCATGATACTGCTACATTCCTATATGTTTGACTATGTTATATAATGCTGTACCCTCAAATGTAAGGGAAAAGTCATTCTGTAATCTACCTTTATTCCCCTTTAGATCCGTAACATGATTATGTTCAGCGAATACCTTGATTTTTCCTGACATTTTCTGAGTATGCATCAACATAACCAGAAATTGTGTTAGGCCAAAATGCTGACAAATTCATTGCCTCTTTGACAGTGACCTTTATCGTCTATTTGTACTTATTCTCGATTTATGGAAAAAGAGGACTTTAATGTTTCTTAACCAATGTGTCATTTCCCCCCTTTCGATTTAATGAAGAAAAGAGCCCATTCCTGGAAGGGTGGGCTGCGGTCCCGCTGGCTGCCTAGTGTTTATGGGAAATCTGGGGAATGCCTCCAGAACTTGGCAGCCCTCCTCCAGCTCCTGAGCCAAAACATTTCTGTAATTTTTAGTTTGTCTGCATTGTCTGATGAGCCAAGGAATCCCTGGCATTTTCCTCTCTCATGTGTTACCCCATTAACTAGACTCTTAATAATCCTCTCCAGCTTCCAGTGAGTCTGCAGAGTACTAATGGTCCATGCTGCCTTCAACTCTTCATCCTCCAAAGAGCTCTGCTTTTCTGAGAGTAGGCTGTCCTGGATGTCCTCTAATTATGACCAACAAGGGTCATGGACCAGCATCTTCTCATCTCTGCCATACTCGTTAACATTAGGAAGCTAGCTAATGAAGGGTAGATTTTCAAAGCTAACTGTAATGACTCTTACAATTGGCGATGATTTTCAAATGGGTTTATAGAGCAGCTTGGTTCATGAGTTAAATCTGCAATGTATATAGGAGTAGACAAAAAATACTGTGGACCAAGCATTAAAGAGCCAGCTTAAACAAAACAAAACAAAACAAAAACAAAAACAAAAAAGCAAAAAAAAACATGATTTTTACTTGTGATTGAATGAATTCTTTATTTTTTCTAAAACTGGAAATATCAAAGCTATGATGATCTGAACTAAAATATTTCTGGCTCCAATTTAGATATGCCCTACTTTAGCTTCCCTTGATTACCTGCAATTTTCCACCTGTGTCACAGGGGTTTTCTAGGTGAATATGCAAAAAACAAGGAAGAAAATATTGCCTTGAACCACGGTGCTGTTTCTAAACAATGCATATGCCTTTTGGCCCTGTCGCCTGGTTTGATAAGAGAGCAGTGAGATATTGCATGATAAACCCACCCTCCTGCTATTTGTGATAGAGTGGGTTTCTGTCACTTGCAAACCAGACTACTTGAAAAAATACAGTTGAACTCAAACTACTAGAAAATATGGTTGAAAGCTGCTTCGGGGCCTTTTGTGCCACTTTTTATGGTTTCTGAGTTATATCCTGTCCAAGTGCCATTTACCCCACATCATTGCCATTCTCTTTTTTCTCCCTTTTCTTATCCCTCTCTCAAGAGATCCTCTGCATTCTCTGAGCACCATTGTAAGTCTCATCTACCCTCCCATGCTTTCCTTCCCTCATCACATCAGTCTTGTTCCACATCTCATCCTCTCAGATGTGCCATGTCTATTCTACTTTGAAGCATATGTCATGTATAATTAATTACTCTTTGTATATATCAAGGTTATTAAGTAGGATCTGAATGATAGGTTCATCCTTTATGAACAAGTGCTGGAGGTCAAGAATAAAACAGTAAAGATTAAAAAAAAAAAACTAAAAAAAAAGATAGATTCCAATATACCTGGGAAATGTAGATGAACTATGTGATCATTCTCTAGAAATCTAATTGAGAACTGAGAATAACTTTTAGAGAGAACTTCTTCTAAAGGAAGAATGATAAAATGAGCCAGACCAAATAAGTATGTTTTTGTTGTCAAAAGGAAAAGACAAACTTCCCTCTTCCAAGGCTGTTGAGCTCCTAGTTGAAATCCCACAGGGAACAGGCAGAGAGATCTTACATAAGAAAGGATCTCAGTCTGATAGGCTAAGTTACCTAGTGGCAACAGATAGGCTCTCCATGGACTAACAGAACACGTGAGTATTTCTCACTCATGTAAAGTCTTCTGTGGTTCTGGGAGACTTCCCAGTGCATTTATCCTCCCTGTATTTGTTCTGCAATCTAGTCCATTTCAATCTTATGGTACTTGTGTTTCAACAAACTATTTATTTTATTAATTTA